TAGTGCTACTACTACTAGTACAGCTTGGGAAGTAGTAATCTATTTGATGCTGGTTGGCCATTTTGTGAGATGCTGCGGGGAGTCGTGGTCCGCTTCCATTTGTACGACAGCCGGAGCATAACCAGAACGGTACCCAGGCCCCGGGAGCATTCAGGGGAATGACAGCCCCTTCATACTCCAGACTTTTTACAGAAATAACTCAATAATTACTCCGGATTGAATCCAGCTTTCATCCCTGAGAAATCAACCCGAGGATGATTGGTCCACGTGCCCACCCGCAAAGTCCCGGAGCGGGAAATGCTCATAACCGGGCTGTGGCGGTGCAGTAATTGGGAGTAATTGAAAGTAAACTTGCAGTGTTGTACCCGCAACCGGGAAGTTCGGCCCGCCCTGCGTTTTTCTCGGTTGCAGGGCACGGAATGACTAATGTGTGGCGACGCTCTACAGCGTAACTAACTAGTAGTTTTATGTTCGCTGTGTTAGTCTCAGCCACAGCCTGCGCTCGCTGGCCGTCATAGCCGTAGATCTCGGCAAACCTCAACTTGTTCCCGTTCCTCCCAAGGCCCATCTTGCTCTCCCATCTCCTCTCCATTCTTCCTCTTCATACTAACGAGGCTGTCCTCTATATTCCACCCTCTCCTCTCCCCCCCACTACTTTGATCAATAGAGAGTGCTTTTGCTCTCTGATGAGTCCCGTTTTGTTACAGGTGCTACGGCAATCCTAGTCGACACCTGTGTTTTTCTCGTTCCCCTACAAACCGTGCGTGTTCCTTTCATCCGCCTCGAGAAAAATCCCGCAGCTTAAGCAACCGATCCCCGTCAAACTAACTCGCGATTTTTACCTGCCATAGTTCTCGAGATAATTCGCCGTGTCATATATCTCGTTCGCCTAATCATCGTCGAGCTTATAGCATATTAAATTTCAGCTCGCATTACCCCATAGAAAATCTGTCGCGATGTTTCGTTCCACTGCCGTAAAGGCCACCAGCGGCCTGCGCAGTCCGGCCTGCTCTTCTTGCAAGAGATCCCTCTCTCTTGCTGCTACTGCCAGATCTGCTGCCAACCGCTCAAAACTTGGCCTGACCACCAGACGTCCTCTCGCTCTCGTCGACCGGTTGTCCAAGAGGCACTATGCTGCGCCCGCTGAGGGTGTGGTAAGCAATTCCCCTGCACATGTGTCGTCCACGCTTTTTGGCTTGGTTTCATCTCCGGTCTGAAAGCCAGTTCCGACTGACATTCGCTTTTTTGGCGATTCTGTAGGATGCCAATGACTCTTTCCTCTCCGGAAACACCGCCAACTACATCGATGAGATGTACGTCGCATGGAAGAGAGATCCCTCCAGCGTGCACATCTCATGGCAAACGTATTTCAAGAACATGGAGGAGGGCAACATGCCCGTCTCCCAGGCTTTCCAGCCTCCTCCGACTCTCGTCCCTACCCCTACCGGTGGTGTTCCTCAGGAGATGCCCGGCGCAGGCCTGTCTTTCGCGGCCGGTACCGACGTCACGAATCACCTGAAGGTTCAGCTTCTGGTCCGCGCCTACCAGGCTCGTGGTCACCACAAGGCCAAGATCGATCCTCTTGGTATCCGCGGTGAGGCCGAGGCCTTCGGTTACAACAAGCCCAAGGAGCTCGAGCTGGACCACTACGGATTCACTGAGCGCGATTTGGACCAGGAGTTCAACCTTGGACCCGGTATCCTGCCCCGCTTCGCCACCGAGGGACGCAAGAAGATGACCCTGCGCGAGATCATTTCCACCTGCGAGAAGATCTACTGCGGCTCCTACGGTGTGGAGTACATCCACATCCCCGACCGTAAGCCCTGCGACTGGATTCGCGATCGCTTCGAGGTTCCCGAGCCCTACAAGTACTCTGTCGATGACAAGCGCCGTATCCTCGACCGCCTGATCTGGTCCCACAGCTTCGAGTCCTTCCTTGCGACCAAGTTCCCTAACGACAAGCGTTTCGGTCTGGAGGGTTGTGAGACCCTTGTGCCCGGTATGAAGGCCCTCATCGACCGCAGTGTCGACTACGGTATCAAGGACATCGTCATCGGTATGCCTCACCGTGGTCGTCTGAACGTCCTCTCCAACGTCGTCCGTAAACCCAACGAGTCCATCTTCAGTGAGTTCGCTGGTTCCGCCGAGCCCTCCGACGAGGGATCCGGTGATGTCAAGTACCACTTGGGTATGAACTTCGAGCGCCCTACCCCCTCGGGTAAGCGTGTCCAGCTTTCCCTGGTCGCCAACCCCTCTCACTTGGAGGCTGAGGACCCGGTCGTTCTCGGAAAGACCCGCTCCATCCAGCACTACAACAAGGATGAGCAGAACTTCGACTCCGCCATGGGTGTGCTGTTGCACGGTGATGCCGCTTTTGCCGCCCAGGGTATCGTCTACGAGACCATGGGATTCCACTCTCTCCCCGCCTACTCCACCGGTGGTACCATCCACATCGTTGTGAACAACCAGATCGGTTTCACCACTGACCCCCGCTTTGCCCGCTCCACCCCTTACTGCTCGGACATTGCCAAGTCCATTGACGCTCCTGTCTTCCACGTGAACGCTGATGACGTTGAGGCGGTCAACTACGTCTGCCAGGTTGCTGCCGACTGGCGTGCCGAGTTCAAGCGTGACGTTGTCATCGACATCGTCTGCTACCGTAAGCAGGGTCACAACGAGACCGACCAGCCCTCTTTCACCCAGCCTCTGATGTACAAGCGCATTGCTCAGCAGAAGAGCCAGCTTGACAAGTACGTCAACAAGCTGATCGAGGAGGGTACCTTCACCAAGGAGGACATCGATGAGCACAAGAAGTGGGTCTGGGGCATGCTGAACGACAGCTTCGACCGCAGCAAGGACTACCAGCCCACCAGTAAGGAGTGGCTCACCTCCGCCTGGAATGGTTTCAAGACCCCCAAGGAGCTTGCCACTGAGGTTCTGCCTCACCTCCCCACTGGTGTTGAGGGTCCTCTGCTGAAGAACGTTGCTGAGAAGATCAGCGGTGGTGGTAGCCCCGAGGGCTTCACCCTTCACAAGAACCTCAAGCGTATCTTGGCTAACCGCAAGAAGGCTGTCGATGAGGGTCAGGGCATTGACTGGGCTACTGCTGAGGCTCTTGCTTTCGGCTCTCTTGTGTCCGAGGGTTACCACGTCCGTGTCTCCGGTCAGGATGTCGAGCGTGGTACTTTCTCCCAGCGTCACGCTGTCCTGCACGACCAGGAGACTGAGGGCACCTACACTCCTCTCCAGAACATCTCTGAGAACCAGGGAAGCTTCGTTATCTCCAACTCCTCCCTCAGTGAATTCGGAGCGTAAGTTTCAGCTTCTGCCTTTCTTATGTGGATTAAAGCTAACTCTATTCAGTCTTGGTTTCGAATACGGTTACTCCCTGACCTCCCCCAACGCCCTCGTCATGTGGGAGGCTCAGTTCGGTGACTTTGCCAACAACGCTCAGTGTATCATTGATCAGTTCATCGCTGCTGGAGAGTCCAAGTGGCTGCAGCGCTCTGGTCTGGTTGTTTCCCTGCCCCACGGTTACGATGGTCAGGGTCCTGAGCACTCCTCCGGTAGAATGGAGCGTTGGTTGCAGCTTTGCAATGAGGAGCCCCGTGTCTTCCCCGAGGGTGACAAGCTCGACCGCCAGCACCAGGACTGCAACATGCAGATCGTCTGCATGACCAGCCCTGCCAACCTGTTCCACGTTCTGCGTCGCCAGATCCACCGCCAGTTCCGCAAGCGTATGTAACCTACAAAATCTCCCGTACAAGTCTAGTGCTAACTATCGTTCCAGCCCTCGTGATCTTCTTCTCCAAGTCTCTGCTCCGTCACCCTCTTGCTCGCTCTGACATTGAGGGCTTCACTGGTGACTCTCACTTCCAGTGGATCATCCCCGACCCCGCCCACGGCAAGGAGATCGACGAGCCTGAGAAGATTGAGCGTGTCGTCCTGTGCTCTGGCCAGGTCTACGCTGCTCTTACCAAGCACCGTGAAGCCCACGGCATCCGCAACACCGCCATCACCCGTGTTGAGCAGCTGCACCCCTTCCCTTGGGCTCAGCTGAAGGAGAACCTGGACAGCTACCCGAACGCCCGCAACATCGTCTGGGCCCAGGAGGAGCCTCTGAACGCCGGTGCCTGGAGCTACACCCAGCCCCGTATCGAGACTCTGCTGAACGAGACCGAGCACCACAACCGCCGTCACGTTCTGTACGCCGGTCGCGCTCCCAGCGCTTCCGTCGCCACTGGTCTCAAGTCTGTCCATCTCAAGGAGGAGCAGGAGTTCCTCAACGATGCTTTCACTGTTCACCAGGAGCGCCTCAAGGGCGAGTAAATGATGTCGTTGTAAGAGTGTGTGTTTGGGTTGGGGAGTCAGCGTTGGCTCGTTCTGGTCTTCTTTGTATGATTTTCCTTTGTTCAGCAGCATAGTGTACGATGATTATACTACAGTTCATGCTTAAGTGTTTCCGGGCTTTGGGTCTCGTTTCTTTGCCACATTGTTTCGTGATCTAGCCTGCCGATACCTAGCATGTGCTTCGTGCACGCGTGTAAATTAAGAACGTTGATATAATTTCAGTTTCTTTGGTTGGCAATTGCACCGTAAGCTAGACTGTATACAAAGGCTTGTATGCTTTTCACCTAAGCTCATTGACATCTAGTTCTTATAGCCAGAAAGAGGGGCAAAATCAACAATCACGGGGCAATGGCGCATCTGGGAGCGCGTCAGACTGAAGATCTGGAGGTGGCCGGTTCAAGCCCGGCTTGCCCCATCCTTTTTTCTCAATTCATTTTTGTTGTGGGTTGTGGATCTCCCGATATACACCAGTTGATAGCTCGAGTTGAAAGTTGAGATTCGTTTAATTGATATGTGACGTCACCGAAAGCTTATCAGCATGTCTTTGTCAGCCGAGATTCAGTGCCTGGCTCTGCAGGCACCAATCACCTGATGAATGATGGGCTCTGCCGGGTCTTTCTCCGCACTGCAAGTCTCCCATCGCTCCAACTCTCGTTTCCCACCCCCGATTTTTCCCTGTTTTGTCTGTCTGTCCATGTTCTTCCATCTGTTGAGCCATCGATCTCCCAGTATCTCTGAGTGCTTCTTGTTCCCTGATTGAGTCGGACTTGCTGTCCGACTTGTGTGCCTTTTCCTTCCTAACCCATCATGTCTGCCGTTGCCGTCAACTCTCAGGGTCAGAGCGCTCGTCAGTCAACGCGCCAGACCAGAACGAACCCATCTCGCACATCCAAGACATTGGGCCGCTCGTCCTTCGCTTATGGTCATGGCTCCATGGCAGATACCCAGTCTGCGACCCCTGTCGCCCATGGCTTCTATCCTGCTCTCACCCATTTCACGGACGCCATTACAGCCCTGCCCAGGGAATTTCGTCGTCATAATTCGTTGCTCAAGGAGGTCGATGCGAAGGCTTGGGCCCTCGAGGATAATTTGCTCCAATTGCTGAGGTCCGCTTCGGAGTCGCAGCCTGTGCCGTACCCCTCTACTCCGGTAGGTAGTTTTGCTGGGCGCCCTGTTCGGGGAGATCTCTTATCCATGGTGTGGGTTATATAATGGTCTGCGGGGATAAGCTATTTACGATGGATTTGGGCGGATATGAGCATGTGCTGACGAGTTATCGTGACTAGATCCCCGAATCTCAGGAAAGCAAAGACCGCCGGATCCTGTTCCATCGTGTGCGCCATACGCTTACGGATCTGATGATGACCGCGGATGAGAAAAACCACGTTATTTCGAATGCGAACGACGAACTGGACCGACAGCTCACACGTCTTGATTCTATCTTCCCGTTCATCGCGGGGGAGATCAGCGATGAAGCTCGTCTGGGAAGTCTGACGCACTGGGCTTACACGAATAGAAATGCCCCTAAGACAACTACTAATGAGCGTCCTCGTCGGGAGGCTGCGTCGACTAAGGAATTGGCGCATGCGATCCATGAGGCGGAGGCTGCTTCGCGGAGCGAGGCTAGGCGCGAAGCTGTCATTGCGCGCAGGCAGCGTCGCACGCATGCGGATTCGGATTTGGACGATGTACGTGCTGGCGGGGCTCGCAAGGGACAATCTAGTAAATCTCGCGGGGGTGCGGGTGCTGGTGATCAGGCCGGACATGGTCAGGGAAATACTGGGTCGGGCCAGGCCAAACGGCGCAAGGTTGAGCGGCCCGCGCCTGTGGAGGCTGGTGCTGCGATGGAACGCACTGCTAGCAGCGCTAGTACTTCGAGGCAGGCTGCTTCGAAGGATCCCGCTGAAGCTACGAAGAAGAGGCGGGCACCCAATACGAATGCGGCGGCTCGGAAGAGGTATGTTGGTTTTGGTTGCTTTGGGTATCCATGGACTAACATGAGTGACAGAAACAACACCAATGCATCTGCAGTCGATTCCCCGGTTCTGGCTCCATCCCCTGTTGTCGCTGCTGCGGCTATCCCACGAAGCGCTGTCAGTCCTGGACCTGGTGCAGTGCGGCCGCAGACTTCTCGCGCGCAGCAGAATTCCGGACAAGCAAACACTGGTCGTCAGAGACCGTCATCTTCTGCATCTAATCGCGTTACTAGCAACGGTACGTTTCAGCCATATTCAATCTCAGTCTGATCGCGAATCTAACGACGTAACTACTCTAGGCAAAGCTGCAGAAAATAAAACCACAATCAAAGAGACGACATCCAAAACCGAAGCCACTCCTACTTCTAATCCAGATACCCAACGAGAAACCGAAGAGCCCACCACAGACGCATCTAAGCTCCCACCTCCTATCAGCACTAAACGCGAAGACACCGATGGAAAGCCCGCGCCGTCCATCGAACCGGGCGAAGTCCCCGCACCGCCAGTCTCGAATCCACCTCCCAAGGGCCGATCATCTAAGACATCCACCCCGGTGCTACCCACCTTCTCCGAACCCACTCAGCGCGTACGACCTACCCGAAGCACGGATCCCGCACCAGCCAAACGGTCCCACAAGAAGAACAGCAGCGTACCAGTGGTGCAAGCGCGGGCTGTATCAGAAGAGGAAGAGTCTCTCCATGAGGGCGATGATGAAGACGAAGACGGCGAACCCAGATACTGCTACTGCAATGAGATCAGTTTCGGCGAGATGGTAGCATGTGATAATGACGCCTGCCCTCGCGAGTGGTTCCACTTGTCGTGTGTTGGGTTGACGAAGCCGCCTGGGAAGAATGGTGAGTCTATCCCTTTTCATTTCTATGGATGCGGGGGGGTGGAGATTGCTAACTTGAAATTAGTTAAATGGTACTGTAATGAGTGTAAGGAGAGTATGCGACGGAGTCGAAGTGGGCGTTGAACAAGCAGAGCAGGAGGAAGCAAAACAAAATAGGATACTGGAGTTATGGGTTGGGAATGGTTTTTCGCTCTCATGAATGTACATACGTAGTAGACAATAAACTGATTGTCTGACTTTTGTCAAGTATGGTTTATAAGTAATGGCGAGTAAAGATACTTCTATCTATATAAATACCAGTAAAGGGCATGGAGGCTTCTCGGCCAGTAACAGAGTTGGGTCATGAATAATATACATACTATACTAGTATGCGCCGCACCAGCTGAGTTTAAATCTGGAGACAACATCATCATCCTCTACCCCGCCAGCCTATACCAGCTCATTAACATCCGGCGCCAGTTCGACTTCATCATTATCCATCCTCTTATTCTCAGTCCTAGATTGATAACATCCCCCGTCAATTGACAAAATGTCCGACTCTAAAATCGAGCTCCCAAGCATTGCCGAGATCGAAGCATCAACCGATATTCTCAGCGACCCCTGCAGATCCGTCAAAGTGGTCCGAGTAAAAGAGCGCTTCGCAGTCAAATTCGGCTTCTCCATCGCACCTCTAGAAGCAGAGAACATGAGATTCGTTGCTACTAACAGCAAAGTCCGCGTGCCAAAAGTCTACAATGACTTTATCGATCCAAAGACCCAAAAACGGTACATCATCATGGAATATATCCCCGGGACCGATTTGCAGAAGTTAGCGCCATCTCTTTCTGAAGACGGGAAGAAGAAAGTCAGCAGGCGTATCAAGGAAGCACTTGATGAACTGCGACGTATTCCTTCCCAGGGATATCTTGGGAACTTGAACCGCACACCTTACTACGAGGGCATTCTCTCTACTCCCCTTGATCGTGACCCGAGCATATCTGGTCCTTTTGACAATGAGGAACAGTTCAACCAGGGTATATTGAAATGTCTAGGACGGAGGGAGTCGCAGCATTACGTCCGCTTGCTTCATCAAGCGATTAAACGTACACTCAAAGGACACAGGATTGTCTTCACCCATGCGGATCTCCAGCCGAAGAATGTCATGGTTGAGGAACAGAAGGGGGTGTGTGAGGATGGAAGTCACGATTATCGGATAACGATTATTGATTGGGACTTGGCTGGCTGGTACCCTGAGTACTGGGACTATTGTAATTCGACGGTCTATTGCCAGGCAAAACCGGAGTGGCTTGAATTGGTCCCAGATGTCTTTGATGAGTATCCGGTGGAGTATCTTATGATGCGGATATTCTATATGTCGATGTTTTACTGAAGAGCTCTGCAACGGAATTCAGCGAAGAATGTGATAGTCAGATTGTTTCCTACATTCTTAGTTGATACTCGTATACATCAAAGCAATATAACAAAAGCCAAACCCAAGTGTGAAGACAAAACGGACTCGAGAATGATATGATGACAGCACGAGAGGTCAGGCCTGATTCATTGATGTATACTTCCATATCAGGTTTTCATGACACTTCCCAACTTTCTCAAAGCCTAATGATACCCTTCTTTAGAGCCAATTTCTGGACATCCCGGAGCCAGTCTCCACAGCGATAATTATTCCAGCAATGAGATCAAAAGTAACTGAGACAACAACCTAGAGCCGAATGTAGCCATAGTGATAGTACCGCGTAAGGTGATAAAATCAACAACTGGAAGTAGATAGTCTCACATTAGCTCCCACCGAGTCTTTCATACTACGTAGTAGATAAGTGGTAGTGACCTCGTAACTACTACCAGTATACCAGTCTATTAGTACAACTCCGCCCATGGACTCGCCTGGGATTAGATAGATACACAAACATCATCCAGAGCGAAGAGATTATACTAGTACACAACGAGAGATCAAATGCAGTAATAACCAATCGGACAGGAGACCAGCACTTTATGCCCCGAGTGTGGACCCATACTGCCTATCTTGACCGCTCCCTTGACCGCCAAAAGCGGCAGAACCTAGCGAACCTCGCAGAGAAAAGTGCGGATATAGACGGATATAGACGGATATATTTTTATACAGCCCCGAAAAAGTCAGTCAGCATTCTGTATACTTCTTGACCGCCTTGTTTGAAGCGGCAGAATCTGGGGCCTGTCACTATAGTGCACTGTAGAATGGAGCTTGGAGCTTGTTCTTATGCTAATTGCTGATGGAGATCGATATAAGATGTCTTGAGTGTATTAATCACTTCAGGGTGCCTTTGATGCAACAATTGCAACTTTTTCGCCTTATTTCTGACTACTATTATGTGCGTTACGAGAGGATTCAAGTTGTTGTCGACGCTCTTCGGTCTTGCGATATTACACAGTTTTGGCAGTATCAAAAAAGTCTACAAATCATTCCTAAAGAGTCTAACATAATCTAGTCCATATACTTCCTGTTATTCTCGCAAAGCGCTACGAAATGGAATCACTACCCAACACCATCTCACATCATATACTACCACCGCTTGGGGCAGGCAAATTCCCGACAGATCATGCACTTCCCTTCCAATGAAGTTGCACCCCAGTCAGGTTGGTCAAATCCAAGTCATCAGGATTCAGCAATCGGATCGTCCATTGAGTAAACGGAGTCGGCTCGGCATGTTCTTTAGTTGGGTAGGTCGCGTGCACCAGCGTATCACCTATAGCACCCGATTCGTCGATCTTGCTCCGTGCTGGAGCGACCGGATCTAGGATAGGATCTAGGTCTAATCGAATGTAGAAGAAGAAGACGGCGCACCAGCTCAAGACGGCAACGCATAGGCCCCAACTTCCCACAGCGCCGGAAAAGCGCCGGGACGTCGCTTTGTCAACGGAGGGTAGTTGCAGCGGGCAGGGCGCTCCTTCCCGTTACAAACGCTCGTTACTTGCATTCCATCTTCTACGTAAAAACTCCTAGATAGGTACAATTTGATCATCATCTGCCTTGCTTACGTCTTCTTCTTCTTCTACATTCGATGAGACCTAGATCCTATCCTAGATCCGTTCGCTCCAGCACGGAGCAACATGGTAGCATCTCAGCCGAACGCTTGAGCAATCCGACCGGAACTATACTGCCCACCAAGAGCAGATGCAAAACAGAGAACGAATATTGCAAGAACAACTGAACCAAGAGAGAGCGACACGGCAGCAAACCGCGATACCTCAATTAGCGCAAGACTTCGAACACGGTGGACCTTATCACGGACGACGAGCGGATTCGAGCTTCTTCCGAGACATTAGTGAAGAACAGTCGGCGCCGAGAGACGGTTACTACACTGAAGGTAGCCGACGAAGGGATGAGCAAACTCAAGACGTCTTTCGCATGTCAGGTGCACGTCCCGTACAAATGGGTCCTCCATATCCCGACTGCAATCGGCAGGGCGGGTATGGCGTTGGAAAGGGTTACAACTGATCATACATTGATCCTGACCGCTATTCCAATGATCGCTACCCCGGCGATCGCTACTCCGCTGAGAAACGTCCTCGTCGGCTTAAGCCTGATGATGTAATGACGTTCGATCCCAAGACAACTGACGTCAAGTTCTTCATCCGACGTATTCGAATTATCGTGGCCCAGGAAGGACAACGTCCTGTGTTGAACGTACTTCCGTTCTGTTTGAAGGAGCGCCCTGCCCGCTGCAAATCTCATAGGCAAGTCGCACCTGTCTTGGGAGACTGGTGGAATGGAATATCTTGCCATCCTGAATATCGGCATATACTCCCGAAGTTAAAATACCGATGTTCACCCGTGCGACTCCATCACTGATGGCTTCGGCTCGGGGGACAACGCCCTGCAGGAGCGTTTTAAGGCGTTCCTGGTGGAAGTGCGATCCATTATTGAATAAGCTGGCGAGGCTGTTCTCTTTACTGGTATCGGTTGTTAGCGCTGGTGTGGATCTGGGCCCATGGACCACTTATTTTGATGCATTGATTGGGGGCTGTCCTGTTGCTACCTCACTGGGTGGTTATTTATATTGGGGCGCTGAGTAGTACTAGTCAGTTCTGAACTAGAACGATCATGATATTAGGAAATATACGTTGTAAATCCATGGCTTATATTAGTATGTGGCTTGGACATGCTGCCTCTTCTCCTCGGTATGTGTATCTACCCGGTCTTGTAGAGGATCGATGTCTCGACAAGTTGCAGACTAGTAATACTAGTTATAACCTCAGTCACCGCTTAGATATATTCGTGGTTATCTTCAATGACAGCCTACGCCTGGGCTTGGATCAACGCCCTAGCATCGGTAGGACATAGTTACGATTACGGATATATATTGGTACTTAGGAGCTTTATTACTTGAAAAAAAAAATAGAAAAGAAAAGAAGCCGAATCAAAATAATTTTTACATTAGTACCTATTACTCATGTAGTCATTTATAGTTGAGTTGAGTGGTGCGTGCGTAGTATCTTTTCTATCCGCACCCATATTGCAAGCCCTCATCTACCAAATCCCAGAAGCATTCTTCAACAAGTCGTCTCGATGGTGTAGTTGGTTATCACGTGGGTCTCATACTACAGTATGACGTGGAAGCTTCAACTTCCATGCGATCCCAAGGCCGGGAGTTCGAACCTCCCTCGGGACAGATCTTTTTTCTATATATATATATATATTTTTTTTTTGGCAATTCCACGGACCGGTCTCTTAGAGCCGGATCATCCTTTTCTCTTTTCTCCTTCTTAACTTATTCGCAGAACTGAACATGGATGGTACTTACTAGCTTCGGCTGTCCGGGAGTCACACTATACTCGTCGGTGTCGGAATTAGTAGTATGGTCAGGATTTCGCATAGAAATTGTGCTCCATGATCTTATAATTTTCCTAGATATTTATAAACAATGCCGCGATCCTAACCTTAGCACCGAAAAGACAGAAGCACTGTATTTAACTGAACCAAAGATGTGCTAACTCGCCCTATGTGTAAGAAATTGAGGTCATACTCAGTTAGATGGCACGAGCTGCGATTCGACTTTATCCTCGCTCAACAACCCCCTCACCGCTGTCTTGATAGCGGACATACTACTATCGCTGAAACCCCGGGCGGATGATATGGATGATGTGTATGAAGAAACATCCCTTTGATCACATGAGAGAAGTCTTATTAAAAGCTTGGGCGTAAATGTGCTCCTTTTATCTATTCCATAACATGGCTAAAATATCCCCAAGTCGATCTCCAAGAAGATGCCAGCAGGTATGAGATGCCTCTTTCTGTCCTCTTTCGCTGCGGTATCAAGATTGAAGTGTTGAAAAACAAATACTACTAACCACCATATCCTTGTCGTATGGCTACTACCATTTCTAGTATATTAAAGGGAGACTAAAATTTAACTGCATCAGCTGAGTGCTAAGGGAGGTTCATAGCGAAAAGTCATTGGTTGCTATTGTCAATCAAAAAGCACTCCGTTCAGCCGTACCATGCAAGGCTACCAGATGGACAGGCATCACCCCTTTGGATCCCCAAGGCAAACATATGTACCAGTTCTCCGAGAAGCTCATAGTAGTTCTGGCTGTGACTCGATGCAGCAAGCCAGCGCGGTAAAGGTGCACTTCCCTCCGATCTGCATGTCTCCGGCCTTATTAAGGAGGAGAAGCGTGCCTCCCCCCTCTCTCCCATACAGACCTTCCTATCTCGCGTCTGCCAGCATAGCATCTCTTGCCCAACACCAGTGACAATGTCCATCTTTCTCATCACAACTCTCCTATCTACCACCGTCCAAGCACTCACCACATTCGATACAAATTGCACCATTCCATCCGACCAAGTCAACTATGTCTCCTCGCCCAACACGCGCGGCACCCTCACTATTCTCTGGGCTTGCCTCTTCACCATCCTGTCCTGCACCTGGACCGTGCAAAATCTCGACGTTCCATGGTAGCGTGAACACTATGAGCCAGGGCCTAAAGGGGCCAGAAAATATACAATTCAGAAGTATACAACTCAAGCCGTGTGGTTTGTGGTGACGGTTCTGGCGCCGGAAGTGCTTCTTGGAAAGTATTGGCTTGATAACAAGAAAGCGGACGAAGAACTCAGCGATCTTCAAAAGTATGCTCAGGAGGATGGAGTGGAATGGACGAAGACCCATAGTCTATTTGCCAATATGGGCGGGTTTGCAATAAGGATCAACTTGGCACAACGAAGACCCGAGGCGCTTGTTTCACCTGAACCCGAGAACAAAGCTGAAAATGGAACTAATTGTGAGGAGGAACACCCAAATAGCAGACCTGCTTCTGGAAGTGAAGAGAGAAGATCGCCAGCAAACCATGCTACCGATGAAGAATCAGGAGTTAGCAGCTTACGACAAGAGAAGTATACTTATTTTCTCTCTGCTCCAAAAATATTGAGTCTTCGAGCTGGAGGGGGACTTTCTCGAATGCCAGATATAACCAAGGAGAAGCTACCTGACAGATCAAAAGCAGATGGACTAATGCGACTCATCACAGTAGTTCAGATAATGTGGATGTGTATTCAGGTCATCACTCGCGCTGTGCGTGGCCTGACGGTGTCCCAGCTGGAGATTTCTGTTACTGCATTCGCATCTTGCGCCGTGGTAATGTACTGGCTCAGCTGGGACAAACCGAAGGGTGTCATGGTCCCCATTACTATTGTACAATATGGGGATGAAGGCAGAGCTCTTGTAAATATGTTGGGTCAAAAATATCCACCCCCCCATAGTCGTTGATCATGGACAAGGCTGGTGGTTCTGGATGCATGAATTACTTGGCAAGTCGCTACGCACGATATTTGGGGAGCACGTCCATATAGGGTTTGGGATCGCTCTCGGTGGCCTTTTATTCGGCGGAATCCACCTCATTGCCTGGAACTTCGCGTTTCCCACCGCGACTGAGGGACTACTATGGAGGGTAGCTGCTCTCTATTGCGCTTGCTTTCCAATTGGCTATGCTCTCATAAGCTCAATCCTGTCCATTGTACGGGACAATCGGTGGCTATTGAGCAGGTTGGCACATGGTCAGTGTTCATTATTTAAATTCTTGAAGAGGCTTGACTTGGAAATAATAGTCTTTCATGATGGCACACCAACAGGTAAAATTCTCTACTTTTTCGTATTAGTCCCCGGGATCAGTCTCTACATACTGGCTAGGGTATACCTTCTGGTCGAAATGTTTAGGACGCTGGCTTATCTACCACCAGACGCTTATATTGGGACTTGGACGGTGAATATACCATTTTTTGGCTGAGGGGGTTACAGAACATAAACCTCAGAGATCGCAAGTATTTACAAAGCAAACTCAATACGAATCTAGAGCAAAGTAGTATTCAGATATCACAAATAGATGTACTAGTATATACTGTACGTAGCCTGAGGAGGCCTTTTCACAGAGTATGACCCAATGAGAGGTCTGCCGCAGAGCGACAATGATACGAGCATGATCGGAACATCTGAGAAATCACTCATTTGTAGAAGAAGCACAGAGTCCGATCAGTATGTTGGATAAAACTCGTAGCGCTCTCTGCCATAGTCATATAAGATATATAGATGATGTAATTCCCGTGTCCAACCAGCCTCTTTTTGTTAGAGACATCGCTAGAGGAAGACTGCCGGCATAACGCAGGATGCCCGCAAGACAGACGTTTATCCCGAATGCATCTCGCGCATTCAGTCTACTGGCATACACTCTCAAGCCATTCGAGCTAATCTTCGAGGGCATGAGTGAAATGGCGAAGAGCTGCGAAGCTGCGTGGGTGGCTGATTTTGTGTCGCTGTAGTGATTTCAGCCAAGTGAAATCCCCTAGATCTAGAATCGCTCCCTGATCCCAGATCATACATGTGCCCATCCATTATAGGCAAGCACCTGCATCTCATTAATCAGGCAGAAGTCGCCAGGCTCTTTCTCATCCGGATGAGCATCCTGCCAGCGACTGAGTCTTCTGCGGACGACCATTTTCTTGAACAATGGTGTTGTAACCCAGCGTCGGATTCTATTCTCCCATAGAGCCAATGCTACATGTTGTAGCGATAGCCAGGCACCGGTAGGATGAACAGCTTCGTAAGCTGCAGGGTTGTAGCCAACGCGGACCTTAGGGTTCAGATATACCCCCAGCTCTTGGGAAAGTGGATTATCTGCGTGAATCAAACAGCATTCTGAGCCTTCGAGGTGTGATTTCGCAAGGGAGTCGGAAATGGCACGGAATCGCAGCGGAGGAGTGGATAAGAACGGCTCCGCGGGCATAGCGACTGTGATGGTCTGTTAGTTAATATAGTAGTAGGAAGCAATGTGAGGGGAAGTCACTGACCCATTCCATTCCAGCAGCTTTTGACCGGCACAGGAGACATGGAGTATAGCGCATTGCGCGACACTTCAGAACGGAAATAAGGCCATGTCTGCATAACATGTTCGTCGCCGTTTGCATCACGAAGGGCGAACGTATCATAATAAATCGGTGGCTTGGAAAAGTCTAGCGAGCAAGCAGCAGCATATGATCCATCATTTGTCTCCAGTAGTGAAATCACATCGTCAACCTAGATGGAGCCGTCAATAAACTTAATGTTTCTGCACCGACACAGAAAAATGAACACACCGTAAAGACCACATCATTCAGAAACAACACTTTATCAAATATAACACCCCGTCGCGCTAGATCCTCCAACGGCCGCAAGGACCAATTGCGCAACCGGGCCAGATAAGATATGCGTCTTAGCTCCTTCTTATGCCGGGCCGTGTCGATCCAGCCCTCACCCGGCGATGCGGAGATCTCATCCTCATGCGTCGTATCCGATAATGTGATATTGCGCTGCACACCAAGTCGGTCCAGATCCGCGTCGAGATCTCGCAAAGCCCCCTTGGTATCATCCCAGCTTCCGCTCTCGAAGATGCTCACGAAGATGTTATCTGGACCGAAGGCTTTCGCTAGTTCTATGATGGCATCGTTCCAATGGCTTCGGAGGATGGCTTCGTTGTTCCAGTGCGTGCTAGCGATGAATATTCGTTCTGGGATGGGTGATGGTCGAGTAATGTCATTGGTTCGGTAGGAGGAGGACGAAACGAGGTGATGGATGTAAAGTACATCTAGGATGGTCCAGACGAGGACACAGATTAGCAGGCCGCGGAGGAGACGCCGGCGCAGCCCTATTCGGCGGGATACCCCACGCCGGGGGATGAAAGTGACATAGCTGAATTTAGCAGTCATTGGAGGGGTGAATTGACATGCATGTCATGTGTAAAAGGATGTGTGTTGTACAGGCTGGGGGATTGTGCCTGCAACTGAGTGGTTTGGATGCATTGCAATGGATAGGAGACTGCCAGTGGCAGCTGCAGAAATGAGAGAGAAGAAGAATGTTAGTTCAACACGAGGCGCTTAACAAGGGGGTAGGTAATTGGAGGATCTCATTGGCGATGGAGTAAAACATCCCTGAAGAGGCTGAGTCTTTTGTTTGACGGAGGCCGGCGGAGTCGCTCGTCTTGGCCCCTTGATTTAGTATCACGATTGCGGGCTAGGCAGCCATCCATAGGAGAGTTTAGCCCCCTTTAATGGAGAGAATGCTTGGTATGATAAATCTTGGTCCGCATTCGGAATAAGTGCACTGGTCGATGAATTAGGGCCCCAGAATATTACAAACTAGACTTCCGTATCTACATCCGTCCCTGTCATCGATAGCGTTCGAATACGGCACCCATGCCGTGACCATCCACTACCTATAAGCTTCCAAATAGATTTGCCAGCACTCCTATATCGTAAATAACTACATGGAACAATCCTCTAGTCTATATCCCTCCACTCCTCCTCAACCTCTGTCCAGCAGCATCCCCCGTCGCACCCGTAGCCGACGAACTCGCCGACGCCGCAATAGCCTCACCCTCCAACCTCCTCCTCAGATCCTCATATCTCCCACCATCTGCCCCTCCAGCTCCATTTACAACTCTCCGCTCTTTCTCCCCCACCATCCACGCCGGGACCCTCCACGCGCCAGTCCCAGGCAGGAACTCCATCCGCCAGGCCACACCAACCAGCCATCCCACCGCAGCGGGGACGACCATCGCCGGGAACTGCGACAAAGCCAGTTGCGCAGCGACAATATATGTTGTAGATTTATCAGACAGTGTGAGAGTAAGGGACTTGCTGCTCTGCTGTGGTTGGTCTTTCGTCTCGTTCGAATCAGAAGCAGATGACGTGGAGATCCGGTAGCGGAATGTAGATGGGATTGAGGCGTGGTATTGCGCTAATAAGGCGAAGATAGTCGCGACAGGTCCGGAGGGAAGGTAGTTTAATTTTCCGAGGGTGATGGGTCGGAGGACGAGGATGAGGAGGAGAGGTGGGAGGAGGGTTGTGTAGGGGAGTGTGGTGAGGAGGAAGGTCTATAAGCCGTTATTGCTTGTTAGTACTGCATCGGGTGGTATAGCCTGCGGACGGAAATTGCTATAAGGAAAAGCAAGGTAGAATAGAGTGACGTACGGCAAACTTTCTTTTTCCCCAAGCGCGCTCAACAACTCGTAGATGATACACTAGCATCGCGGCGAACAGCGCCTCCGTCGAGTTCGCGAATCCGGCTACCTGCCACACCAGAATGCGCCAGAACTGTCCATATTGCCAGATATGTGGCGCGACTTGGATACTAGTGAGGTGTTTAAGGTCGAAGATGGCGAGAGCCACCGAGGAGGCGATGGTGTAGATGAGGAGGGATTTGGAGATCGAGGCGTTGGTGAGTCCGGAGGTTAACATCTTCGAGATGTTATTGTGAATTTATTAGAATTTATTTAGAATATGGAACTGGAGGTAATTTCTCCTGAATATTAAACAATAACTAGAGCATGAAGGCGATGTCTTATTAGTGGAGCGTCCTGGTGGTCGCGATGCTGGTCTGACAAGCTGGAAGGAAGGTGGAGGAAGTGAGGGACACGTCGCGTGAAGGGCGGGCCGAGGCGGAGGGGCGGAGAGCGGAGGGCTCGGCATGCCGATCGAAGTATTTAAAAGTCCCAATTGGCTTTACAATGAATCGTTAATAGTCATTTATGTCTATTCTATCATACATTATGGCCATCACGCAGATGGCATTTCCTTCATTTCTTCAGCCAACGCCTGGTTGTACTTTGCCAACGCCGTTTCCAACGCCCGAATGGTCGGCCCCAGTAGTCGATTGACAGCCTGTTCACCTCCAGCCACACCAGCGAGATTGAGCTTGAGCTTCCTTCCTGTCCTTTCCAGCACTTCCCGGGCATGCTGCTTCAGTCGATCAACCTCAACTTGCCGCTCTGCCTCTGCGTCTTGCGCCACCGATTTTATGCGCTCCATGGCTCTGTTAAGGGACTCCACGAGCGAAGCTACCTCACCCGCGCGATCCGGATTCCCAGATAGGAATGCCTGCCAGAATTGATGCAAGAATTCAGTCGACGTGGCATGCGTTAGTGTCAACCGGTCGTACAACGCAGTTGACAAACCGTATGTGCCGGCATTGCCTGATCCCTCTGTTTGGGAGCGGCGGTCACGGATCGCTTCGAGAATCTGGTTTGAGGCGCGCTTCAAATTCACTCTGGAACCAATCACGTCTTCGAACTTTTGTTGATCTTCATCTTCATCTTCCTGCGGTTCTACCAATCTCCCTAGCGGCGCGGCTCCGCCCTCTGGCAAATTTTGTTCTAAATCTCCCCGTAGCTTTCCTAGTATCTGGTTCGGATCCTGCTGGGCAAATAGCTTGTTTTGCTCATCCTCCGCAGATTTCGAATGCGACGAGAAAAAGCGACTCTGGTCCTTGACATTGAGGAGAATACGTTGCTGTTCCTCGTCCCCGCGTAAATCGCGCAGCTGCAGCTCGTTGTATGTTCCATCCTCACCCGTCTTGCCATCCGCCTCGCCATCGGCTGGTGCAACGTTCGCCATAATCTTCTCACTCAGACTGTTCAGTGTGCGAATAATGGGCACCTTTTCCACGGAGGACGGGCGCATGTCGAGATCGGGTCGGTTGCCTTGCCGTTGACTGTTGTTCACTTCATTGCCAGCCAAATCTAAGAAATGCGGAACATGCGCATCGCGGGGTAAATTCCCCGACTCGTCCGCCTTGAGGTATTTATCCAGGATTACGTCCGTGGGATCCGTTTCAGAGATGCGCTCTCCGCGCAGTTTCTTGAACAGCCGACTCTGGAAAAACCGAGACCAGAATTGCTGCTCGCTAAGCTTGGGTACATTCTCGTCGTATACCCGCTTCACAAGCGGATGCTGATTGAAAATCAACTGAATCTGCTCCTTGCTAATATTCAACTTTGTCACGCTATCCTCCACTCGCGGCTTCAATGTCGACAGCACATTATACGATCCGCGTGTCTGCGACCGTTCGATCGCATGCGCGCGCAAAAGATGAAGTCGAGTAGACCAAAACTGCGTCATGAATTGTGAAGCAGACAGCGTATCCGGCTTGGTGTGTAATGACTCCATGAACATGCGCTGCAGAGTCGAATTCGATTTCAGCAGCGACTGCTGCAGCTCCACATCTCCTTGAAGCCGTTTGTCATCATCCCACGTGCTCTTCTCTTTCCCTGCCGATGAAACCGCATTCGCTATGGCCATAGCAGGAGACACGCCTTCTTTAACGGGGGCACTCTGAGCTGTCTTCGCAGCTTGAATAGCGGCACTGAGCGCATCTCTGATGGCATCAGCTTCCGGTCGCGCGTTCGCTCCAGCTGTAAAAGAGAAGACATATTGTTCGGGGGAGCTGGCGGGGGCGTTCGGAGGGAGGACAAAGATCTTCAGCATCACTTTCGGGTTACTCGCGGGGGTCTGTTGCAAATCTATGCCGTAGTCAGTATAATCGCGCCCGGTGAATCAAGGTAAAGACCACGACGTACTGGTAATCTGAGCAACAGGAAGAGTAATTGCGCCAGCTGCACCGCCAGCCGCCGGAATCCAAGAGATCGACTGGCGGTCCTGGGCTATGGTCAGGGTGCCATCTTTCTTCTTGTATGCCGCCGACCCGCTCGGAGGTGCCATCGTCATGGATCTCGACAGCGTCCACTGTCCTGGGCGGCGTCTAGGGATCCACCCATCGGGAGATTGAAATCCCACGGGAGAATCGGAAGGACAGGGCCTTCAAAGACGCGGGAGGTTTGAGTGGATGGGTTAAGATGCGAGTTTGTGAAAAGTACGAAGTTCCGCAATCAGTCAAGATGGAGGCACGTGATAGATATACTGAGACATGTGACTTGCCTGCTTAGTCAGGATGACAGCCCTAACAAGTCATCCAGCTTGAAGACTGTGTTGCAAGTCAAAAACAGAATGTTAGTGAGGACTATGTCAGGCTGAATAATTCCAGCTGGTAATTCCTCGGTCGGCTAAATCAAATCTGAGAGCATAGTATGCATAGCATGGACGATAAGGGTAGATTGAGAGATCATTTCGGGTTTCTTTCGACAAGAAGTTTTACTGTCATCTCCAGAACCTAGAATGAGTTCAGTAACGACTTTTCTCGAGTGTACTGCATGATAGCTAGAAATGAGAAAAGTTATGACCAGATTCTTTCGTTAGATGGGGAGAGTGCAACCGACTTGTCCTTCAACTTCTACTTTTACTCTTGTCACCAGAAACCAGCCATAGCCATGGTCGACCAATTATAGTGGAACGTACCGGCCATTGAAGTGCGAATCAATATTTCACGAGAATATTTCACGAGAGGTGGGATACTACCTAAAAGATGGACCAACAGTATATCTCGAACAACAAGAGCATTTGAATATTAGGCATACACGGACAATTCCTCGAGACACCCACAAAAATGGTGACTAAAGCAAGAATTGGACAAAGAGATAATCCTATGAATTAAGTTTTCAAACGGTGAAATCCTGTGTAACCTTCCACTTTCCTGAACCAAAGCGGTCCGTGTGTCCTTATATTCGCTACTCTAACAATTAATGCAGGTAGGAAAGAGTAAAGAAACGATAAACTTATAAGTATCCGAAGGCGCAGTACATTGAGCTGATGCCACCTGATCTCCATGCTCAAAGAGTGCTAAGATTCTACCAGGAGAAAGAAAAGTCGAATTAGGGAGATCCCATCTATTGCTATGAGTCGCGTCTAGAGCACTCTAATATAAAGAGAACGCCCCACTTAGTCTCAGAAGTCGGTTTCCAACCAAGTCTATCCTACATGTCGACACAAAAGCCCTACGATATGGGGAGTTCTCAGTCCGAAGAGTCTGGAGCAAAAGCTCCCACTCATATCGACTATAAACTAGAGAACATTATTGCGGAGGCGCTAGATAATGGTGGAGTGCCCAACGTGTTC